GGCATGCGCGTTATGTAATAACATGATTACATGTCATACTCATGATGCGCTCGCGACCGTTTCGCTAGCTTCACAAATGCCAAATTTGGTATTACGTGACGCCAATGGATGACGGAGGTATGTGATTTGTGAAAACATGATAATAATGAGATGCGTGTCAAGTCAGAAAATGACTACATGCCACAGTTAAGGCACCAATACACTTCGACGTGACCAGGCGCCCATGTGCGCCGGCGTTCGTTTCGTCGCGTCACACTGGCGTTGCTATGCCAGGCGCTCGTCCTGCCATATACTCTCAAGCGCACGCTGCGTTGCTTTGACGCATGCGCATTTCAGCGCGTCCGGCGTCCCTCCGTCTCGAAAAGAGGCAGGCGCAATGCTGTCTGAATAATGCATTGGCGCCAAGTGCAGCATGTCTCATTTCGCGAAGGTTGCCGTTGGGCCGCGCCGACGGACGCTGGTAGCGCCGGTCGCGCTTGGCGTCGTACTATAAAGTGCTCACGTATTTCTGACGTAGCGTCGCTTTGCCCAGCGTGCGCGCGCGTCAACGGTTCGTTTTTAGTATATTGGCCCCTACATGACGCACTCGAGGCCGTTTCGCTAGCTCCACATACACCAAATTGGTGTTACATGACGTCAATGAATGAGGAAGGTATATGACTGGTGCAAACAGGATAACCATGAGACGCGTGTCATTTAGGAACATGACAACATACCTCGCTTATAGCATGCTTGTGGCCGTTTCGATAGCTCCACATATATTCAATTTGTCATCACGTGACGTGGATAGATGACGAAGGTAAACAACACATCCAAACATGATAATCATGACATGGAAGTTGTTTACGGCATAATTTACCTATACCTCGTAACGTTGTTTTGATTTGAAAGTAGCATATCAACCTCGCTCGTTCGTGCTTCGCATATCATCGATTCCCACTGTACGTGGGATCTGCCGATTTTTATTTATTTTTTCTGATATAGGCGACCTGCTGTGGATCTTCCATAGGTCGTCCACGTGCCAGTGGCTCCTATCCTCGGTTTCTCGTGTTACGGTTCTGCTGTCTGACACTGGCGTAGTCTCACGACACTACAGAAGTTCATTGGTTGCACGACAAGAGAGGGGAGGGTAAGAAGATCTCTGTTGGCCTACACTACAGTGTTGTAGTATTGAAGAGGCGGCCTTCCGCAGCTCTGTTTTCGGTGGAGGCCGAGTTGCATGGGGCACAGAGAATCGGACGTGAAGCAGCTATGAGCTTGGCACTTCAACCACGGCTGCTGCTTCAAGCCTTCATACCGGTTCTACGCCGCTGCACCTTCCCGAAGACGGTCTATTGCCATGGACCAATTCTTATGCTCTGTCTACGCCACGTACATGTCTAGCGCATTGATGGTTGCCACCCAGCTGTCGGCGTCGTTCTGAAACCCGTCAAATTCCAGCAGTTTGCAGATAAACAATGATCATGGGGTGGCATAGGACAATGCCAAGATCGCTGAGACAAAAAGAACAGCCAAGCTGGTCTGAGAGCTGCAGGACGGCGCCCCTATGCGCTCTGAGTTGATCAGTTGAGAAACGTCGAAGTCTTGTGGGGCGGCTACATCCAACATGGCGTTGATTGCTCTCAGGATCGGCAGGATTGCATGTAACAGCGTGGATCTCGCTGTCACAGTGTTTAGCGTGATGTGGAGTCGCGCGATGGTACGCCGTGGGCTTACGGTGCTATCCTATTGGGAGTGAAGCCTGAAGATGCAGGGACCACGGTCTCCGAGCCTGCAGAGTTTCCCGCAGTCACTCTGTCGAAATCCACGAGCAAGAAAACCTGGACAGCGTTCCATGGCGTCTCGTATGCTGGCAGACTAGTGCGATTAGATTTCAAGCCATGGAAGGCGTCAACAACATTCCCGAAGGACAGAATCTCTTGCGTATTCTTCCCGTGAAGTTGTAGCATGGTGTTTGCTGAGTTATGCTCTGGTACAGCTGGGGAAGGATGGACGCCGTTTCCTGATGGTTTGATGGCAGCTGAAGCAACGGTCTTCTTGATGATTCCATCGCCGAGAAAGCGTGAACAGCGTTCCTGAATGGAGAACTCGTGCTGCCGATGACCTGGGAGGGCACGTACTGGTGGCTTTAGCCATACCACGATGCCACTTTTAATTATCACACACACACACACACACACACACACACACACACACACACACACACACACACACACACACACACACACACATATATATATATATATATATATATATATAGAGAGAGAGAGAGAGAGAGAGAGAACGGACAAAACTCAGCGGTTGTCCTAATTCTATTACCAATGATTTCCACTGGTCGAAACCGTTTGCAATAAAATCAAGACAATCACTAAATTGTGTCTCCTCTCTTCCCAGGTATGTTTGGCGTATTGGAAAAGCTTCTTTGGTATATATATATATATATATATATATATATATATATATATATATATATATATATATATAGAGAGAGAGAGAGAGAGAGAAAGAGAGAGAGAGGTCTAACATGTGTAGAAAGAAAACTGGTTCCTGGCCGGGGCAAGTTATATTTTCACCCGCTTTTCTTTCTTCACAATTACAATACATTTAGGTCTAATTAATAATTTCTTCTATACTTTCTTTGGCATTATTGTTTGTTACATCTCCTTATTATTGTGTCAAACACGGAAAAATGAGCCCTTAAATATGCACTTATTTTCATATATATATATATATATATATATATATATATATATATATATATATAGAGAGAGAGAGAGAGAGAGAGAGAGAGAGAGAACCCAGGTGCGCTGGGTTCCCAGTATTCCACCTCTGAGTTACGCCGGTGCTTGTGATTTGTTGGCTAACTTTTGTAAGGCAGGCTTGATGTCGGGAACGCAATCGCGGTAATACGACTTATAAAGCGTTTTAAAACCGCGAAAACCAACTAGTCGTCGCACAATGCGAACAGCGTGATGAGTGGGCCGTCCGATGCTCGAACCAATTACAAAAGCATGTTCTTGTTCCCCCATTTACTGTGGCGCATACCCGCTTCAGCCATAATTCTTCATTGTCGTCAGCTACTGCACGAACAATTGGCACAAAGTTCTTTACAAGTGTTAAGCGGATACCACCCTTCTCAGAAAAATGACAAAAAATAGGCCAGCGAATGCCGGTGTACTACCCGAAAATTTTATTATTTATTCCTTAATGGCTATGAAGAAGGTGTGCTTTCTGTAATTACCCAATGAGTGTTTTAAAGAGACTCTGAAAGGTCGCCCTTCTAGCTTTCGCTGGGATTGTGCTGCGCCCTCCGCGCAGGCCTGGCGTTTTTTTTTTTTTAAATTTTGCATGTGTATACAGTGACATTCGTATCTCACCATGTGTGCAGTTCTACCTGCACAGTGTGGGTCGTTGCCACGTTTAAGCGGTGAAAGCAAAATACAAGCACCCACTGCCAAAAAGCTGACGTCCTCGAAGTAGTTTACACGCACATATAATAAATGATGGGGGAGCTCATAGCTTATCGTGATTGAAACAAGTGCGAAATAACTAAATATAGCTGTGAAGGCGACATAGAAATCGTGCGTATAGTTAGGCAAGATGACCGTTGCAAGTTGATCATCGATGCGTCGAATACGGAGGTAGGGAAAGCATTATCGATTATGCAGCCCTTATGCAAATGGGCACATATCATAAGTGTCCTCTGTGTGTAGCAATAGCACTTCCTGCGTTCCCACAGACCTTCATGTCAAGCCACCCTAGTCATGTCCACTCTCACTCACATTGGTTGTTTACGCACCTGTTTTCGTCCTGGCCGACCATTCGCGTGCGTATACTCTCTCATTGTTGGGAGTCCCTTAATATTTGCGGGCGTGGCACCGTTCGCACATATTGTTGTGCCTACCTTAGCGTGCGATTGCCGGACAAGATTAGTAATTAATAATGCGTCCACTTTTTGTGGCATTGCGTAGAGAGGCGCTTTTGATTTCTCGAGTTGTCAACTTTTGTGCTTCGTCATAGTCGTATTTATGCAGTAATCGCACTAAAAGTGCTGAGTTAAATATCCACTGTTTTTACCACGGGGCCCTTAAAACCTTTAATAGAATAAAAATATTGGCCCGAATCTACATGTTACACTGTAAATGTCGTCGAAAGACGATAGTCTTGCGTCTGGAGAGAGTGAACAAAACGTTTATTTGATGTTGTGCGCAAGAAAATCGGTGGATGGTATTCTGACGGTGCTGCGTTGCCTCGAAAGAGAGAGAGAAGAAACTTTATTCAAGTGCCCCTGCTGGAGTCAAAGGTGGCTGGGGGCCGGGAGACGGGCCTCTCTGTAACCCCCTTTCTCAGGCGGTGGCTAGGCCTTGAATCCTGGCGGCGTCTTCGGTTAGCCGGACAGCCCAGAGCTGGTCCTCCGGGCACGTGCTGAGCAGCAAAGCCTCCCACTGCTCGGCCATGGTGATTGTGAATGTAGGGTTCGGGCTGTGTTTAACTGAGTGAGTAGCTTCGGGACAGGCCCATATAATATGGTCGAGCTCAGCGTTAGGTGCACCGCACGTTTTGCATTGTGGTGTGTGAATAGCGCGATAAATACGGCTGTACAGTGACGGACAGGGGAAAGTACGTGTCTGTAATAGGCGCCAGGTAGTGGACTGCTGCTTACTAATGCACGTGTCTGGTGGTGGGTATTTATGTCTGGCCTTGCGGTAATACATTAAGATTTCTCCAAAGGTAATCATTCTGTCCCTCGCATTGTCGCGAAACGAGGAGACCATCATCTCTCGCTCAGCCGCGTCAGGTCGCGAGGGGTGGTGCTCTGTTGGATGACGCGCCCGGTGGACGAGAGCTCGGGCGGTGTCATGAGCGTGCTCGTTCCCCGCAAGCCCCGAGTGGCCTAGAGGCCAGATGATCTCAACGCGGCGACGACGTAACAGAGGTGTACTTGTGAGAATTTGGTGCGCCGGTTGGGAGATCAAACCTTTGGTAAAGTTTGGTCAAACCTTTGGTAAACCATCAGTAAAGTCACTGATGATGCAGGATGCTTGGGTTGAAGCGTAGGCGAGAGCGATGGCTGCTTCTTTGCCTTCTTTTGGTTTGTTGGTGCGAATGGTGCCAGTTGCGGTAATTATGTGCTGCGGCCCGGTGGCGACAGCGAGGGCCATGGCCCGATGCGTAGGATATTCCGCTGCGTATACATACGCCACGTACGTGGCTTTCGCGTAACGCTTGCCTAGTTGCTTGGCGCGGTCTACTCGTCTTTCCACGTTATATTCAGGGTGCATATTGCGTGGTATGGGGGGAATCACGAAAGTGTCGCGAATGTCCGAAGGAATTTTGAGTTTCTGGCCAAACTGGGAGACGTAAGGTATGCCGAGTGAGCACATGAGACGACGTCCTGTAGGAGTTTGGCCTAATCGTTCATAGTGCGATATACGTTGGGCTTCAATGAATTCGTCTATAGTATTGTAAAGTCCTAGGTCATTGAGTTTCGCATTGGGCGTAGACATGGGGAGATGCAGCGCGCACTTGTAGCAGCGCCTGATCATTATGTTTAGTTTTTTTCTTGTCGGTGAGCGTAAGTTTCATAAATGGAGCAACGTAAAGGATTCTGCTTATGGATAAGATGGTTACCAGTCGTATGAGATTGGCCTTTTCAATGCCGTGCTGTTTTATTGGCGATGCGGGAGACAAGCCTAGTAGTCTGATAGACATGATGGTGTAGTAGTTGCATTGTTTCCGAATTGCCGCCGTTCTGCTGAATGCAGAAGCACAATACGCAAATGGCAGGGACTGTTCGTATAGGGTGATGTTGCACATGCAGATTTATCGTGGGAAGGTCTCTGTTGTAGGAAGATCTAGGTCGATAGACGAGTAACTCTGACTTTTGGGGCGAGCAGGACAATCCTTGTTGTTCAGCATAGGTTCTGATTCTATCAATCGCCAATTGAAGTGCATCTTGTATCTCTCCGTCACTACCTCTGACAATCCACAAGGTGATATCACCCGCGTATATGCTGTGGTGGAGGTGGGCTATATCTTCTAGAAGTGGCGGAAAGTGAAGCATGGCTAGGTTGAAAAGAAATGGAGACAGGACCGACCCCTGTGGTGTCCCTTTCCCACCGAAAGTGACAGAAGGTGCAGGCAAATTGTTGACCGAGAGTGTGGCTGTCATGCGTTGCCTCGAGCGTGTAACAGAGGTGAACAAGCGCGTCTAGGCACGTTAAAGACGAGCGCCATCTGGCAGGTATCTACGAAAACGAAGGCATGCGCAACTGCGGAGAAAGATGGGGAGACGCTTGTCAACCGGCGAGCTGGAGAGGGGCGCTGCGAGCGCTCGATGGTGACGGACGCACTCCATATCGCCTCCGTAGATTTTATGCTATTTCTGCGGACATCCACCTTGGTACCCCTGAAACTTGGATTTATTGTCACCGCCAAGTTCTCCGCTTCGCCTAGACAACACCTTCGTCCAGGTGGGTCCAGTTTTGACAACTTGAGGGACGTCCTTCACTCCCGGCTACAACGGCGCCTCGCTAAGGGCTCTCAGCCCGGCGATAGCGGCCGCTAACGTGGTTACGGGCTATGATCCTACCTCAAGCCAGATGCTGTCCATGGAGATTTCATCCTCCGAAAACACTATGCCATCAGAAGATCAATACCTCGACGACATGGTGAGACTGTGGCAACGCAAGCAAGCGAAATCGAAGTCTGCGTCTCAACAACAACGAGACGCCATGGCGGGCCACCATTCCCCAGCCTTGCAAGGAACGCCGGCGCGCCATCCCTCCGGTGGTGTGCCTACCTCTGCTCCATCCTCGCAGCCAGCGAAGCAACGCAAGTGGCGTCCGCGTCAAACTCCTCGCTTCACTACTACGACTACATCGTAGTAGTAAAACCTCGCGTTCCCTGCGAGCTACGCACATTTGTCCCGGCCGATCGCGCGGGCGACGCCATCCGCAGCTACCTCGGCGACCGGCCTACCACGCAAATTCAAGTGTGGCCAATCTGGGAACGGAACATCTTGGTCTGCAGCACCACCATTTTGCCTATGGCACAGCGACTCCTCGGCGACTTCCAGCTGCAAGTGGGGGATCAGCAGCTGCCCTTTCGAGGCCACGTCAAGGCACCAGGCGATACATGCAAGGGCGTCATCAACGTAAACCCTGCTGAAAGCCCGGAGAAGATAAAGTCTGAACTGTATTGGCCTCGAGGTATTATCCTTGCGGTCCGCAAACTCGGAGATTCCGCGGCGGCGGTGGTGACTTTCGAGGGCACGAAGTTACCCCGCTTCCTCTTCTACCACTGCGTAGCGACGTATATCCGCGCCTACAAGAAAACGGTTCCTGTTTGCACCAACTGCGGTACCATCGGTCATCGACCACCTCAGTGTCCTCACCCCGCTCCAGCCCAGTGTGCCAAAAGTGGAACCCCCGCACCTGCAGGTCTCAATGCCCACGACTGCCACCCCAAGTGCCTCCTCTGCCACGGCGCCCATGAGACTGGGACCAGTGGCTGCACGGCAAAATATCGAAAATATCGGAAATGCAAGCAGCCCTCAACATCTCCTCGAGGGACCACCTCATGTTCGTCACAGCCATACAGCAGCACCAACCTGCATCATTGGGCTCCACCACTCCACGCCGACGCTCAAGCATTCCCACCGCTCGAAGCACCAGCGGTGGTACCTCAGGTGAGCAGTTGGGCAGGGAAAGCTGCTTCTAAGCCTCTCTCACCCCCTTCTGTCGATCCTCCTTCTCCCGAACTTGCGGCCCTTCACCAGCAAGTTGCGGCACTTCAAAAGCAAAATTCTCTTTTAACTAAACAACTCGAACTTATAAAAAAGCGACTTCAACCCCAACAACAGTGTACTGCAAGGCCTTCCGGTGTTGCCTCCTCTGTCCAGGCGGCTACGCCAGCTACGTCCAAGCTTAGTCCTCGCGCTAAGTCCACTCCCATTAAACCGCCGGTTCAAGCAACCATGTGTACTCCAGCACTCGAAACCGGTGCCACATCTACTCCAGAAGCTCTTGAGGCTCCTGGGGCACCTCAGGTTCTCTTGCCCGCTAACCAAACTCTCCCTAGCGAAGAGCGCACCCCGTGCGTAGAGGAACGCCTTTCGCGCGTCGAAGCTTCGATTAATCACCTCCTCACCAGCTTCTCGGTCCAACGCATAGTAGTAGAGGTTACGCAGGCTATTCAAGCCTGGGCAGTCACCCAGTTTCAACCCAAGGCATCGCGTTCCCGCTCCTGCTCGGTGAGCAGTGAGGGTACAGCTCCACGGCGTCGTCGTAAGATAGCTACCACCACCCCACCGTCGGACAATCTGGCCTCCGTGCCCCTCCCTGCCTCTGAGGATTCCGAGCGGGACATGGAGGACCAAATATAAAACCTAAGACAGTCACGATGGCTACCAATTGTACGTCCCGTTCAAACATTGCGTCTAAATTCGAGATCATACAGTGGACCCCTGGAGGCTTCGGGAACAGGCGAAAGCGTTCACATCTTTTCCTTTTCCTCAGCTCACTTGGCTCTCAGCCGGCCGTCTTGGCGCTCCAAGAATCTGGCCCTGCTCCATCCCTTTCTGAATACTGCTCCTATGTAGGCGGCACCACCACATGCCTCCTCGTGCATAAAGCTGACACGGCGATACAGATTGACCTCGATCTGGATCTTCCTTACGACTACTGCATGATATCAGTGCTGTCTCAGCGGAGGGGCCAACCATCAATACATATCTTAAACGTGTACTGTCCCCCTCGCCTTGCGAGGGCTTCGTTTGCGCATCTCTTCCATCGGGCGCTGCGTATAGAGGCCCGACAACCACTCGTGATTGTCGGGGACTTTAATGCCCCCAGCCCTCACTGGGGTTACCACTACGAGAAGGCCCGGGGCAGAGAGCTCAAGGAGCTCATTTCCTCGCTGAGCCTGACGCTTCTTACCGATCCGGCACAACCCACACGTTCCGGCAACTCGGTGACGCGAGACACATGCCCCGACCTCTCCCTCACGCGTCACATCCGCGATGCTACATGGGAAAATTTAGGCGAAACCCTAGGCAGCGATCACTTTTTACTCCGCATTTCGTTCACACTGCGGCAGAAAATGCGCCAACACTGGGGACAAGCCCGTCTCACCGATTTGACTCAGTTCAGAATGCAACCATTCCCCGCCGGCCTCTCCTCGACCGAATATGCAGCGTGGGCATCATACGCTCTTCATATGAAACAAGCGAACACTCGCACCCTTGCAACCTCTAATTTGACTCCTGCAATCGATCCACACCTCCTACATCTTTGGCACGCTCGCCGCGGCCACATAAGGCGCTGGAAACGCAACAAACTTAATCGGAAACTTCGCGCTCGCATTGAGGCGCTCACTGCAGAGGCGGCCGCATACTCCGCACAACTTTCCGATGCTAACTGGGCAGACACCTGTTCGAAGGCTGCAAACCAGATGAGCTCTAAGAGTGCGTGGCGACTCTTTAGAAGCCTTCTCGATCCCTCCACCACCAGGGGAGAAACGCAACGCCAGCTCCACCGTGTTCTGCATGCCTTTCAGGGCACTACGGATGAACTCGCGCGAGAACTTTGTGACCGCTACATCTGCCGCACAATTGATCCCGCAGGCCCAGAATATACGTATTCCGGCGGCCCTAACACCGACCTCGACGCCCCATGCACGCTTTCAGATTTACGATTTGCACTTACGAAAATGCGACGGGGCACGGCCCCTGGACGCGACGGAATCACAGTATCGCTCCTGGCAAATCTTCCCGACCAAGCACACCTCTCGCTACTCCACCTTAAAAATTCGATATGGGACGGTTCTCCGCTTCCAACGGAATGGACCACATCGGTCCTGACATTCATTCCCAAATCGGCAAAGTCCGTTAGTATCGACGCACTGAGACCCATCTCACTTACGTCTTGCGCAGGCAAACTCATGGAAACCATGGTTCGCGAACGCCTTTCCGCCTACTTGGAAGCCAGGAGGACCTTTGCCGACACGATGTTTGGCTTTCGCCCGCATCTGTCGGCGCAGGACATCCTGCTCCAGCTTCAACACGATATCATAGAGCCGACTACTATGCGCCATAACGATAAAGCCGTGCTCGCTCTCGATCTCCGCGGGGCGTTCGACAACGTCAAACACAGCACTATAC